TCTCTAGGTGAGGCCCTATAGGCTAACGAGCGAGGCAGCGAAACTGCTGCTACTGCCACCGCCGCTCGTAAACTCACGCTCAGCGCTAGCTTCTGTGTTTGACACAAGTCTAGACTGTTTTTTTGCCGGTGCGCTGCGTGTGGCCAGTGCGCTAACTACTCTGCTATTCGTCCTGTGTTTGCACGCAATTTGTCGGTTGCTTTGAGGCTACTACTAATGTACCAGGCCCCGTAGCCAGCTTCTATTGGGGGGGGGGGGGGAGGGTTTTGTTTTTGCAATGTTGGCCAATTTGGCATTGGCTACGGGGCCGTGTACAGGATATTGTACCAGGCAACCGGTAACGCCCATAGTTGCTGAGCACGCGAAGGGGGGTCTGGGGTTTCTCTTTTAAAATTTTTTAAATATACAACCCTCAGATGCGTTTTTTCATTCGCGAGCAAAAGTGGGAGTCCCGACTCCCCTGGACCCCCCTGTACACGCCCCTTCTCGGGCGCGAAGCGACAGCGCGAGAGAGCCAGACGACCGAAGGCGGGGGAGGGTGTGGAGGGGGTGTTTACTGTTCACCCTCCTCGCAACGATGGAGATTTTGAATTATTGGTCAACTAAAATGGACGACCGTGAGATAAATGTCTTGCGAAAATTTTCATAAAAAATAAATTTTTTGTCTGAGGGGGAGGGCTGCGGGGGGGGGAGTTTCGTATCGACTAACGCCGCAGCCGAACCCCCGTGGCTCACGGGCCTGTGTAATATATATGAGCGATAGTGGGTGCAATTGCGTTTACTTTGTTTATTACTTGTCACGATTGTTCGCCTATGACCTTGCTGTGACCCGTGGTGTTTACACCCAAAACCATGGATGATACGTGAATAAAGCATACCCGTACGAGGTTGCCTTCAGTCTAGTTGCCATCTTATCCGGTATTTTATCCCCGCTAAGCTGCCACACTGCAACCACACTAACTAACTAACTAACTAACTAACTAACTAACTAAACTAATCAACTACATACTAACTAACTCCACATAACTAACTAACTAACTAACTAACTGAACTAAACTAAGCTAAACTACTAAGCTAACTAACTACTAACATGAACAACTAACTAAACTAACTAACTAACTAACTGAGCTAACTAACATCAACATAACAACGTAACCAACCAAAATCCAACCAACTAACTAACTAGTACTAACTAACTAGACTAACCAACAACTGACTAACTAACTGAAACTAACTAAGTTAATTAACTTAACTAAGCTAACTAACTAACATAGCGTGTAGTCGCATGTTGTTGGCCGACTTTGCGTGACAGTGGGAGGGCTGAGACCGCGAGGCGAACGAAGGCCCGTGCGCTGTGTGTAAGCCTGGAAACAACGCATCAGCTGCAAAAACAGGCAACCTCACCGAACTGCCGGACTCATACGCACGTGATTAGTAGACGACTACGATCGTTCGACCTCAGTTCAAGGAACAGAATCGCTCGCATGTCTAAAGCGCAGGCAGCTTTAAGAACTTCGCGCCGACATGAAAGACGTTGTCGTTACAGGAACAACGGCTCGATCGCGGAAAACGAGGCCGAACACCTCGCCGATTCGCGCAGAAGCTCAGACTACTACGTGCTGAGTCGCAACCTTTGATGGTTGTCCCGTGCGTCGACATGCTATGCTGGCTTTACGACGGCTTGACTCAGCTGGCACTCGACCACAAAACCTGCGTTACCCGTGACCTCGCAGACGGGCGC